AATTTTTATTTTTTATTAATCTTTTGATATTTAATAATTATTAATTAATTTAAAATTAAATTATATCAAACTTTATTAAAGCTAACACTCTCTTGCCATTTGTTTCTCTATTCAAACTCAATATTTTATTTAAAATAATTCAATGTTTTCCACTCATGGTATGATAGCAAGTGGTTTTAGTACAAAACATTGGCGGGCGGTGTTCCCCGAATGAAGTCCAGTTGTATGTATGAACTCGATTCATGATTGGCTAAACCAAGGAAACACGCACTTGCTTAAGGCACGTGCGCTTTGACTCCCCCATTCCAAGAAGCTTCTAAAAAGTCTTGCTTTCGTCGAGCCCTAATTCTCTCTTCTTCCTCCCTCCCTCACTCTCGAACGCCCAGCTGATCCAGGAAGAATTGTTCTCAATTCTTTGAAGCTCACCGGATTCAATCGCGTAATTTCAGTATCCAGGTGGGTTTCTGTTTTCTTTTCCATTCGCGTAATGTGCTTTACTTAGTTCTTAGTGGATTTAGTAAGGGTTTCTATTAAGTTCGAATTTAATGGAAGGATTTTCAGTTAGGGTTGAATTTGAATGGTTTCTAAGTTTGGTTCGTGGGAAAGTTGAAATTTTGAGGATTTTGGGTTGTGGGTTTTCTCTTTGATTGTAGAATTGAATGATTAGTTAGTTAAACAAACTTACTTAATTACTGGGGTAATTATTTTGGTGTGCATGGTTACCATCTCGGTTTTGTTCATTTTGTTTCAAAATTTAGTAATCCAGCTGATATCTATAGACACTGTGGACATTGATCACTGTAGTTGACTTACCTAGCAAAGCAAAATAGGTGATGAGGTTAGGGGTTTTGGCTCTTTTGTATGTAGATTTTTATTTTATTTTTTACAATTTAATGTTTATTTTTGTCTAATTGGTGCAAATATAGATTTGGTATGATTGTGAGGAACTCGGAAACTGCAATGTCGGAGGGTCGGCATTTTTCTCGAGTAGACACTTTGGAGATAAAATCTCAGATTGAAAGGAAACTTGGGCGTTTAAAAGCAGAGAAGTACTTTAATTTGCTGGCCAGATATTTGAGTTTAAAGATTTGCAAATCTGAGTTTGACAAGCTTTGCATTGGGACTATAGGAAGGGAAAATGTCCGTCTTCATAACAATCTCCTCAGATCAATTGTCAGAAATGCTACCCTTGCCAGGACTCCCCCATCAAAAGAGAGTAAAGTCGAAGGTTCTCTCAGTGTTAAAGTGCCAAATGGATTTCAGAGAAGTAGCCTTCAGTCTCTATGCAAAGACTTTCCTCAATCCCCCCGCAGAGGCAGGACACCAAATCTTCGTGATCGCAAGTTCAGGGACCGTCCAAGTCCTTTAGGGCCTCATGGTAAGAGCCACAGCACTGCTTGTGAAGATGCAGTTGCTAAAGTTCAAGAACAACAGAGTGCTACCGAGCTGCTTTCTTTGGGTAGCAGACCTCCAGGCTCTGTGGAGGATGGAGAAGAGGTTGATCAGGCTGCAGGAAGTCCAAGCATTTACAGTAGGAGTCATGTAAGAGCTCCACTTGGCATTATCTTCAATGCTAAAGCTATAAGGAAAGTGCCTTCTACTGGATTTTCATCTTCTTATTACACAGAGACTTGTCATAACAGAGGTGAATTACCTGATACCAGTTCTCTAAGGAAAAGGTTGGAACAGAAGTTGGCTATGGAAGGACTAAAAATGTCAGTAGATTGTGCTAATTTGATGAACAATAGCCTTGATATTTTCCTCAAGAGGCTAATCAAACCATGCTTGGAAGTTGGTGGTTCTAGGTCTGGACACATACTTCTTGACCAAAGACATACTTATTCAATACCGTGTTCAAGTGGGACATTGTCTGGGGTATGTGCACAGAAACCAAGGGGGTTAGTTTCTGCGTCAATGTTAGACTTTCGAGTTGCTATGGAGCTAAATCCCCTGATTCTTGGAGAGGACTGGCCAACACAGATGGAGAAGGTTTGCCTGCGTGCATCAGAAGGGGAAGATGAAGCCAATTAGCTCCATGGTTTGGGTGGGATTTGGTTCCATCCAAGGTGATTTTGATTTATATAGAAACTAGACTCTAACATCATCTTGATCACACCATTTTGATAGAACTGCAGAACGTAAGTATAAAGGCTACAGGAGTTTCGGGTTAAGCTGATTAGATTGTATATAGGTGATGGTTCCGATTTTCCTGGGGGTGGGAACATCTTGACATGGCAAAATTCAAATATATTGACACTGTAAGAATCTACCTGTTACAAATAGGTAATATAGTTCAGTTGTTCTTGTCTTGAACTTTTTCTCTGTTAATAAAGCTTTCATTTGAAATTTTAAGGCTTGCTGTTGCTTAATTGGTAACGTTAGCTTCGCTTAGCTGTTGTTTCTATGAAGCAGTTTTGTCTAATAGCTTGTGTGATGCTTTCAATCTCCTTTCCTGTGATTGATTTTTTGCTGCCATCAAATAATTTATTGTAGTGCCTTCTGAGTGCCATGTGGCATGTAATTTTTTTCATTCCTTTTATTTGGTGAGAGGGAGAGGGACAACTGGAGGCAGATATCTGCTTTCGTTTGAAGGCTAAAAAAAAGAAAGGTAGATATCCATTCTTTTGTTTGTAGTTGTCACCATCTAAAGTAGGAAGGGTTCCTTTATGTAACTTTGCCTAAGGTGTTCACTTCGGAATGTTGTTTATGCTAGTGGCTCATCTTGTATGTTCAGTAAGCCTCTTGCAAGACCTCCTCCTTTCAGCACAGTTTGTTTAACATACTGGATGATTAAATATAATTGTATTCTTCATGTCATTATTTTACTCGAAAGTATTATTTCTGTCATATTGTTAATTTGTTATTCATTGTCACATTCTACCAGTCACCAAACTGCTTTTAAATCCTTGACTTCACCTTTCCTATCTCCACCTTGCTCTCCTTTTATCAATAGTTGTTTTTACATCACCGACAATTTGTTAGTTTGAGTAAAAGGAAATGTGTTTTTTTTAAATAAGGTTTTCGAGATTTAATCTTGTGAAAGGAAAAATAAGTGTTAGAAGAGTTTTTTTCGTATGGAATCTAACGTGGATCGACACCAAGTTAATCGCGTATACTATACCTTTTGGATGTCAGGGGTTAGTAAAAAATAATAATAATAATTGTTTTACGTCATTTAATTGTAATAAGCAAGTCATACTAACTGTTCAATTGTCTGGGCGGAATTCCATCTTTGTCCTGTTTCACCATCTTATCTGTGAAAGTAGAAACATAATAGGTGGAGTTTTAACTCTTTTTCAAGTAGAACTTGGGTCAATTATAAAACTTGGTGGTCGAAGGTGCTATTTTTTTGCTAGATTTATAAACTTCCATGAATGTAGTTCTCCTCCCTGCTTATATATCCTTACTCTTTGCTTCTTTTACCTCAGTGGACAGATAAAGTCACCACCTGATCATTTGATTGTGATTGTTTTTCTATCACAATCATGGAGAAGATACTTATTTCCATATATCTGAGGATGGTTTGACATGGAATGTGAAATACATTAATTTGGATGCTATGGATATTCACTTGTCTCAAACATAACGATCACTCCTTGGGTCTAGCTCTGCTTGGTCTTTTGTTTTTCTACGCTCAAGAATCGTTAACATGCATTATGACAGCCTTTTTCTCCTAGTTGACAAACAATCTCAGGTATTTCCTCTAAAGCCTGTGGTGAAAGTGCCGTATGACTCATTCTTGTTTACCAACATCGAGTATTTGCATTACCTTTTTTGCGTTATGCAGGGAATTCTTTCAAAGTAAGTTGCTTCATTGTCAACCCAGCCTTGGAGATCCTTTCTCTGCTCTTTTTTCATGCTTGATACCCATTCTACTTTGTTTCCTTTGGGCGGACAACAATTAAAAATCACTGAAAACTCATAATAAGCCGCACTTACTAATTAAAAGTGAGCCTGGTTTTGTTTTTGAAACTAGATTACTGCGAGATGCAGATTAACATGCTTAATCTTTGCATGCACGTCTATTTGGTTTAATGACTTGCATTCACAAACTCTGTGTTGCCTTTTCATTATTGGGATAGCTGTGCCTATAAGAGACCTTGGACTAAACTCAGAGCTTCTTGCTTCTTTCCTTTTTCTTCTATCTGCAACCTACCATATACCTGTTTGGCATATATAGATATAATGGTTGAGATCTTGCTTGCTGTGTCCGAGCAATTGATGTTTCCCTGTATCTGGAGCCGTCTGTCCAGTAAGTTTGATTATTCTTACCTTTTCATATTAATTTAATGCGTTAGGCACTCATATCAGTGATGTAGAACTCAAGCTGGCCACGCCTTTGAAATTATGGAAATTAGGCAGCTTGTCAATCAATTATAATATCGGAAGAAAAGATCACTGCTTTCTGCTTATAATATGAAACATTAATAGTACCTTTGTTGATTGTGGAAGGTTCTTGAGAATACGTAAAAAGATTCTTCATCACTTCTCTTGCATTAGCATCATCGATCTGACTTTCCTGACTAGGATAGATTATAGAACATGTACAATGCTTCGTAAAATTGGCACTGGTTGTGCAGATGATATTGCATTTAGTTGTTCAGATAGATTATAGAACATATACAGTACTTCGTAAACTTGGCATAGTTTGTGCAGATGATATTGCATTTAGTTGTTCTTATCTTTATAATCATCCTTTTCGTTGATGATTTTTCTACATAAAATATGGCATTAAAATAATTTATCCACAAATATAACAATTAGGATGATATTGATATTTTTTGTTGGTTTTGGCAGGTAGTTCATTCTGATTGGAACCCTGATATCTACCTTCCTTTGAGCCTAACCCACCCCTTCCTTGCTTTTGAGATTCTAAATAGGTTAAATCCCCAATGTGGTCCCTAAATATTGTACGGACCCTGATTTAGTCCTTAGACTAAAAAAATCTTTGATTTGGTCCCCTAAATTATTGTATGACACTGATTTAATCTTTACTGTTTATCAATTTAGCTCAAGTTAGTCTTTCAATACAAAAACCAACTAACATGTTTTACTATTAACATGATACGTAATCGTTAAGTTATTATTTTTTACCGTTAAGTACCACACATGTTAATTATTTTTTGTATGAAAAGATTAACTTAAAATAAATTGATAAACAATAAAAAGTAAATTAGGGATTCATATAATAATTGAGAGACTAAATTAAATTAAAGGTTTAACTTTTTAAATAATAAGTTCATTAAATTAGAGTCATTTAATTACAAAATATTACGATTAGATAATCAGATAGGACTGCAATGTCCACATCAGGTCACTGCAGGGAAAAGATGATGGAAGAAAAATGGGGATTATGGGAAAAGTCAGATTTGATGACCGCACATGCATTTTATCTCATTCAATGCACGCAAACGGAAACGTGGACTGAAATTTCAAATTTAAATTTGGTGTGGGGAATGTGGCCCTAACATGTTTCTCTTGTAACTGTTACTTTGGACTGTACATGCATATGCACATGTTCCTTCAAGAATATTCTCTGCTAGATGTTCTTTTCTTTTCGAGTTTAGTACGGCTAGAGTCTTGTCTGAACTATTACCATGAATTATTTCTCAACTAGTTTGTTCAACTATTCAAAGCTCTATTTGATTATAGTAAATCAACCTAATTTTATGATATTAGAGGTTCGATCAATGCTAAATGTTTTAATGTTATAGTTTTATGATTAAAGAACATGTTGAGATCGTAAAGTAATTTGAATGCAAACTCATCATTGAATATAGGAAAAGAGGAAATCCCAAACCAATCATGTGCGCTAATGAGTTGTGCGCTTCCTGCTGCTGAAGAGGAGCAGGCACCTTGATTGTTACTCTAAACGGAATCTACATCATCAAAATCTAATACAAAGGCGTTCAACTGCTCGAGCTGTCCCTAGACTCCCTACTGCTACGGACACAGTATAATCACAGAAAGATTCCCATAAAACACCGCATAAAATATGAAGACCGATTGATGAGATGCCAGAAAAACTTTCAGACACGATTTTGAAGCTTAATTTATGTTCGAATCTTACTTATTATCACCCAGTACACCTAAATGAACAGAGGAAAGCCGAAATCCAAGGGTTGTGTCATGGCCACTTATTAATTTATTAAAGTAACGTAATCTTGTTAAAAAAATTATTGATTTTATTTAATTTAATTATTAAAAATAATTAATAATATATAAAATAATTGATATTTATTATTTAATAAATTTAAATTAATTTATAAATTAATATTTTTAGACATCATAACTCATTATTTTAAAAAAATATAAATATTAATTAAATTAAATAATATTTATATAAACTTAATAAAATATTATGTGACTATAATCACACTTTATAAGTTAATATAATTTTTATTATTTATTTCTTCTCCACATAGGATTCAAACTTGTCCGAATTATTACAACCCTAAATAAATACCATTAGAAATTATCAAGTCTAAACAGAAAACTGAATCCCTTCCCTAAAATTCTCAAAAATTAAACGCAGAACAGTCTCGACGAATGTTGCCATTCTTCCCTGTCTTTACTCCCACTCTTCCCAGCTTGGTAATGGCCCTAACGAAGGCTTTGTGGAAGGCTTGAGAGTTGGAGGCCCAAGCATTTACGGTGGGTTTGGACCTGAAGTCCGTGAACAGAACTTGGTCCGAGGTGAACGCGCCCTTGCCTTGCTGCAGGTTCTTGTAGTACATGTTGTCGAATTTTTTGGGCGTGTTTGGGTCCATGTTGATGGCTATAATAGGGTCCACCTTCTTGGGGCACATTTGTTGAAGTTGGGAGGCGTATACCTTGTTCAGCGTAGGATCCACTGGGTTTTTATGGGTGAAATTGTATATCCTGTTTGCGACTTTTGAACAATGAGCGAATCCAACGGTGTGTGCAGCTGCAAAAAAACAAAACCACACAAACGAAACAAACACGCCCTTAAATGGACCCCACCTTGAAATAGTAGTACTTTAAAACACTTTGCCAGCTAACACGATGTAAGACCTTCCACTAAAGGACATGGTGAGTGGGTCCCCTGCATTCTTTTCTGTGACTCTCTTTGATAAGGGGAAAGAAACAAAGAAATAATAATAATAATAACATGCAATGTTTTTTTTTTTTTTGTTTGTTTGTATATTTATTTAATGTCACGATAAGAGATAGCGTATGATGTATACAATTATTGTACTAATAATGACGACATTTTCATAAAGAGAAATCTACTTGTGAGCTTGTGAATGGAGGATACCTGAGAGAGCAATCATGTCTTTTTGGGTGAGCCCATTTGCAGCAAACAGGGTATTGAGCTGATTCAAATTGAAAAATGGCTGAGGCAGCTTTCCATTTACACTGGCAGCCGTAGAGCTTAACCCATCCAACCTTCCCAGCTCAACATCATAATATGGACCACCAGCCTGCATTATAATCACACAAATTAATTTCCATCAATCAATTTATAGCAATTAAACGATTTGAAACTCAACCAAAATTAAAGTGAGAAATTATAATTAATTACCAGAGCAACAACATCACGGGTGGCCATGGCTAGAATATCAGCACAAGAGACCTTGTTTCTGCATCGAGGAACAGCGTCCACCGCTGCTTTGGCCTTGATCACGGTGTCGAATCCGTCCCCAGCTAAGGATAAGTTGTCGGGATGATCCTTCTCCGCCTTGTTTTTTCCGGTTGAAGCGATGATAACCGAAGCATCACAACCCTATCAAACGGTACCAAATTAACTGAAAATGTGAAAAAAAGAAGAAAAAGGCAATAGTATATGGTATTTATTCTTCAATTTCAGTATCAATGGATACCTGGACAAAGCAATCATGGAAGAAGAGACGGAGGGTAGCCGGAACAGTGACAAACGTTCGCTGGAACTTCTTTGTGACTGCTTTTCTCACAATACCCTCCACATTGGGGCAGATTTTGGCATAGTAATTTTTTCTTAGATTAGCAGAGACAGACTCCGGAAACAGAGACAAACTCAGGGACAGTGACACCAAAGTCACGAGTATGAACCCAAGTCGACCCATTTGATCAGAATTATGATTACCTATCGATTGTAACGCACAAAGAAATTAAAGGGCAAAGAGGGATTTATATAGAGAGAGGAGATAAGTGGTGGAAAGCAACTTATGGGGCTAAGAATCTCTTTTCCTTTTTTTTTTTTTCTACAACAAAGAAAGGGGTGTGCTTTTGTTAAAATAATGAAGGGTGACTTGGAAAAGGACACTGATGCTGGCCACTACTTTGCGAATGGCCACCTTTGTAACTACTATGGTTGTTGTCTGATTGTCCTAATGCTCGATGGAATGAAGGTTTAAACTTTAAAGTATTTTTATCTTCGACTTAATTTTTGATTCTCCAAACGTGGTCCTAAGGAAGCACACAGGAAAAGAGAAGGAGGGATGATGTTAAAGTGGGTAGAGACCCAGAGAAAGTAGAATGCACGTTAAGGCTAAGGCTACTTTCCCATGTGTTTCGAGGACTGGAAATGGTACGCGTTCAGTTCAGCTGAGGGGAACAGGAATGCAGATTGCTTTTTAGAGAACCTGTATGACTGAAGCATTTTGTTAATGGTGGTAAAAAATGGGAACAGAAAACTATAATTTATCCAAGTCCAAGAAAATGTTGAGCACTTGGGGTAGGGGCCGGGAGCGGTGCACCTAAATGGGCCATATATGGATCCTAGGAAATAAAAGCATTAATTATAGAATGGTTCTAATCAACTGATTAAGCCATTGTTAGAATGGCCCATCTAGCGGTTGCTAGTTCAAATGCAGCATGACCTGTTTGCATGGAACATCAAGATATATCCAACAAGACAAAATCAAGTAATCACCTAACAACCGCTTAAGTCTAACATTAATTCACTAACAAGTACGTGTTTGTTAAATTTCAAATTGATCAAATCTTATATAATCGTTTGTCAAAAATAAAAAATAAAAAAATTGAAAAAAAGAGATAACAAAAGCTCGCTCTAAAGAAAATTAAAGGATCTTATTGGCTTGGGTTTTTTTTTTTTTATATCAATCTCTCGATATCTGATAATTATATTATATCTCAATTAATTTGAAATTGATTTATATCGAACCTCATCTGAGAGGAAACTTTTCCAACACGTACTTTTTTATTTATAAGATTTCAATTCAAAATTTTATTTAAAAAAAATTAAATTTCTTACCTTCAGACCAACAAGTTGTTGGTGACCCGAGGTTATTAATACCATAAAAAGAATCACCCGACAATACATAGTTACATACTTTGACGGTTGAAGTTAGCAGAATAAAACATGGTCATATGATGCTTAAGAATGTGCAAATGGACAAGAAACAAGGTTGACAAAGCCATCAAAGGAAGCAAGCAAAAGACATGCAGTTCCCCTTTTTCCCACCAATTCCAAATCCCTGTTCGGGCTGCGATTTTGAAATTGCAAATGTAGATCAATGATGGCCCCCCCGAGATTATGACAGGTTTAACTAAGGAATATGATAAGGAATATAATAATGTCTTCACATACGTTGGCTACTCTTCCACGTAACGTTCTTTTCCCTTTCTTGACTTTTTCATCATTGATTTTCCTTTTTCCCTTCAATTTAGATAATATTAGAACACAGATTGAGCACCGTTGTTTATTACTCCCCCGTGCAAGACAGTCTGTTACTAAATTTAGGCTTTGTTTGCCTGTTACTTGCACATGTCACTTTATTATACCACTTTTATTCTAAAACGTAAATTTATAATTTATAATTAGTTTTTAATATATTTTGTATTCATTTTAATTAATATTATATATATTAAATATATTAAAAAATAAAATTTATAATTATAATATAATACTGATAAATAAAACCTTAAAATCAGATTCTTAATAATAAAAAAAAGAGGAAGTAATTAATTAGAAAAACTGGACCTGAAATAGCAACATTGATCATCTTTTCTTCATAGATCTGGCAAAAGTTGATTAACCCACTCACTCAATTCAAATTTGATGCACCATAAATCTGGCAAAAGTTGACCGCACCTGCCCGCCTAATTAACTCAAATTTGATGCTATATATGGGTTGTTATTAGAATTTCATCCACTGAATATTTGCCCAATTAAGGAAAATCCAGCTAAAGAAGTAATCAGCAGCTTAATTTGCTGCTATCATTTACTAATTTTTTAAAGAAAAAAAATATTAATCTTGACTCTTAAAAAATTAAAATTAAAAATTTAAAATTAAAATTAAAATTAAAATTTTTAAATATGAATTAAAACTTTAATTTTTTTTAAGAATTATAATTTGATATATACTAATTTTAAATGGCCAACGAAACATCTTAATTAAGAGGGATTCTACAAAGAGGATTAGGTTAGGTTTTGGCACCTGTATGATGAGGATTAATTAAGATAATAGTCCAATTTTTAGCCTGGTGGATTATTCTTTTATTAAGAAAGGACAATTCGGTTTAAGATTAATTAAATTATCTTGTTTCGTCTTTGCCATTTAAATATTTAATCAAAAGAAAATTAAGTTTTACTCTTCTCCTGTATTTTACTAATGTGGGAATGTACTATCCATGTGACCGTAGTTGTTCGCAACGTTGGAAATATGTACTTTTTTTTCTAATAAAAAAATGTATACGCAAACTTTGCCGACACATGCCAACTCAATAGTGGGGTGGTCACATCAAAATAACACCACTTCAATACTTGGTAATATAAATTAAGACACCCAGGTTTTAAACCACAAATTTATGGATTGGGTTGTTTAAAGGATTAAAGATGAAAGTTATTTTTTATTATATAATTTTTTTAAAAAAAATTTATACCTTATTTTTTGTGTTTAATGATGTTTTTTTTTTTTTGATAAAAATAATGATCAAGAAGTTAGTTTGAATTAGTTATTAGTAACTTAGGATTCGATTTTCAGACTGGATAAACATTTCACCCCTCAAGGCTCAAACGAGGCACGCTGTCATCGGATCACTTTTTGGTGGAGTTCACGATGGTGGTAGAGTTTAAAACTCCAACCACCTTACCCAAACACTTAAAACTTAGAATCGAACCATTGAACTTAAAGTTTCGATTCGTGTTTAATGATGTTAGTTATATTAAAAGTGTGCTCCTCCCTTCTTCTTAGGCTTGGGTTTGATACTTTGATTTCGCTTCTTGAAATTTGTTAAAAAAAAAAATCTTATTATAAAATTAGAAGAGAAAAAATATTATTTTTTAAATATGTTAAATTAATATAAAGACTGTTTTTAAGATAGTATAAAAAAGTAAAATTTAAAATATATAAAAATTAATTTAAAAATACTTTGATGGTAGGAATAAAAAAAAAAGAAGTCAGTTAGTCACGTGGGTAGTGTAATCTGCCAGCGGCAGGTTGTGGTCCACCATTATAGTGGGCCAACTTATAGCTTGTTTATAAGTTTAAACTAAAATTTTCAGTTTCCAAGAACTTTCACTCTCTTATACCTAAATGTGATGTAGAACACAAAATTCTCATATAAGTAAGGGTGGGTATTGAGTGTAGGTACACTTGTTATTGTTATTTATAATATTTTATTTATTTAAGTAATTACTATACTTGAATTGTAAAAAAAAAAAAAAGGTAAGTAATAACAATAAAAATGATATACTTCTAAATGTCAAATTAAGTAATAAATATAGAAATTTAAAATTGTTTATTTGACCCACTTAACAGACTTATTTAACTAACTTATAATTTATACTTATATAATTGAAATTTTTAATATATTTATTATACTTAATATCTATATAATAAAAAAAATTTTAAAAATAAAATACAAAAAATAAAAATAAATGTTAAGTCAACCTATAAGCCAAATAAATTACACACATAGTAATAAAATTTTATATAATTAAAAAATTTTAACTTAAACACATAACACATATAATAATAAGAATAGGATCTCATAATTGATCTTTTCTTTTTTGAAAAAAATTAAGTACATAAGTATATACATATAAGTTATCTAGTACTTATTAGATTAAATATTAAGTATAGATCTTTAAGAATTTACATAAATATCAAATTTAAAAATTTATATCTAAAAATTTTTAAATCAAATTTCAAATATAATTTATAGCTGAATTATACCAGAAAAGTGCTCACCCCTAAGCAAAGTGCAGCGGAGCCACTGGGAAAAGCTCAGAAGATGGAGAGAGTGAGAGATTTTAGGTGTGGGCCTTTAGCCCAATGCCTCCAAATTTGTCTTGGGTCAGACATCCGTTGTTAGTTCGAACCTCCCATTGCCCAATTGGGCATTTTCCCTCAATCCTACAAAAATGGGTTTTGGATTGTGAACCCAGTCAAACCGTTGAACTTTTTTCCATTTTTTTTTTTCTTCTTTTGAAGCTGGCAATGAACAAGAGATGGGTTAGAGTCCATTTTTAATTAGGCTAAAATTGTTATGTATTTGGATATTTTTTAGATATTTAAGTGCTCTTAATTTTTTAATTATCTAAAGTTCTAAAGATATTCCTTTTGAGTTGTGACCATTTTCAAATTTTTTTTATTGTAACATATGCAATATTATATGGTAGGAGCTACTCTCCAACAGTGAACAACTAGAAAATATTTTTTAGGGGGAAGAAATGAAACATTGATTAAGCAGTGGATTAAAATAATATGAAATACATTAATAATCTAAGAATAAAAATAAAAATAATTAATTTACTTAAGATATTTTTTGGGGTATATAATATATTCAACTTCTAAACATGATTAGGGTGTGGTTATGGTCATTAATTTGTTTGTTAAAGTCACTAAAACTGTGTTAAAAAACATTGATTCTATTTAATTTAATTATTAAGAATAGTTAATAATTGATATTTATTATTTAATAAATTAAAATTAATTTATAAATTGATATTTTTAGATATAATAACATTTTCTTAATAAAAAATAAAAATACCAATAAAATTAAATATAATTTTAATAATCTTAACAAATAAATTGTTATCTATAACCACACTCTATGACTAGGGGTTGAGAAGGATGGTTCAAGGATTTAAGATATCAAGTGGTATTATTGTCACACTTTTAAATACTAATATTATATATTTTTTATCTTAATTACCAATTATACCATTTAATTTATTAAAAGGTAAAATATATAATATAAACATATAATAAATAATTATATTTAACAAATAAAATATTAATCATTTATGGCAAGACAATAAGCTCGCCCTAGAGTGTCACGGGCATGGCTTGTAATTTTACTAGCCATAATTGTGTCATATTTGATTTAAAAAGGATGGTTTGGTGGTACTCCGTTTATGTTTTAATGCATCCTTTATTTAAAAAAAAAAAAGGGAAAAAAAATTAAAATAAGGTTTAGATTCCAGATTCAACCGTCAGTCATCATTATCATTGTCCTAATCTAAGATTAATTAATTCCGTGACTCGTGATTGTGAAAGTAACCAATATAAAATTGGCGAGTACAGATGGTCGTGACTCTTGATGTTCTCAACAGCCTGTATGAAGATTGTACAAAATAAGGAGAAATATATCAGTCATGACAGAACCACGTCTTGCACGGAATGTCAATTAATTAAACCCTGATCTAATGGTTATTTTATTCACACGACACAACATCACACCAGATTTGACTGTAAATGCCATAACTGAAAAGATTCAAAAACTACAAATGATCCATTGCCTATTTTCAAAAAAAAAAAACTTCAAATGATGATGTTCTTTAGAGAGTTTTGCGTATTTTCCTAGTTATTATATTATAGTTCTATGGTTTATGGTAAAAGGTAGAGTCATTAAATATGCACAAGTTACCCTGATAACAATAATCTTTAAGAGTTAGTTTGGTAAAAGAAAATTATTTTATTTTGTTATTTTTATTGTTTTTAGAAAATAATTTTTTATTCTCACATATTTTTCTTTTCGTTTATTTTAAGAAAATGATTTTTATTTTCAAATGCAAAACATATTTTCTACTCATTTTTCATTCTTTAATGAAAATAGGGATGGAAAACATGCTTCTTCTTTTTTTTTTGAACAGAACAATGTGAGAGAAAAGAAAATGTCATCTATGAGATTTAAAGATGCAACTTACAAAAAATGATTCTCACTTGACCAAAGATCTTGGTCATTAAACCTGAGTGTTGGGATCAACATGCATGTTTTTTAATGCCAAAGACACCCTTAATTATTTGTTGTGTGGTTCAAGTAGCATATATTGTAAAACAAAAATTATTAAATAGAAAATAATTTTTAATATCAAAGAATTCATTCATATATAATAATTTAAATTGTATAATTTAGTATATTTCAAATTATAATATTTTTTTCTGTTCTTATAATCTCTAATTTAATTTAGAGAGAATTAAGTGATGCATGTCCTATATACCCCAGGGGACTGATCAAGTTTTCTGGTATAATGGGAAGGAACTTGAAGATCTAACCAGGAGAACAGAAATGGCAAAAAACTGATTTCCTCAACGAGTCCCGGCCAGTTATGAAATCATGTAACACAAAGTGGTGGGGGGAAAAGGGAGATGCTTGTACCTCTCCTCAGTCCTCACCCCCCGTACTGTGGACTGTCAAAACACACACAGAAAATTGACTATTCCTTCGTTTTCCTTCCCCTTGTCTGCCAATTTCATTTTTTCAGGGTGGGACCAATCAACAACGGAAGCTGTGCAGCCCCTCCTTTAGCTCAGCCTTTTCAGCAACCCCAATGGACCCAGCGCCCCATACGGTTGCTCCTCCCCTCAACGGCAACGCGTGCTTGCATGTCACTCTCTCCCTCTGGTTTTTATTTTGTTTTTCAACTTTCTTTTAATGCATAATTAATAATGTATTATTCTACAGCTGATGAGAGAGAGGTTTAACCATGCATGTGATGCATTCTTTTTTCCCTTGAGGAGACATGGATTTTAATTTTTGGTCATATTTCTTGTACTTTTATTTTATACTGTATTGCATTTGTTCCTTAGAACCAAATCCAATCCCATCTCCATATCTTTCATGGTCGAGGATCTTCCTCTCCAGTCTGTACTTTATATGTACAGCAAAAACATTACAGCTGTGCCAAACTAAATTATGCATATAGCTTTTTAACTCACATTCCCCAAAAACAAAAAGAAGATCTATCCATTGTCCATAGATAAACGTGCTACAACATTCTTTTCCCTAGTTCGGGTCTAATTATATAGTTAGTAAAAGATAGTCTTTCTTTCCAAACTCTGAATCCCCATCCCAAAATATGATCTTTTCAACAAGTCTCGTGATCAAATAGTTGTTGAATTGTCCTACTCCTTTGTAAATTTAATTCATTAGTGGGTATTTGTTAGAAAACATGTGAATATGAATATAATGCCACGAGTATGATTATTACATGAACTTTTTATTTTATGGTTTATATTATGTTAAAAAATATAAATATTTAAATGAAAAAAGATTTTAATATTTAAAAACCTATATTTATTTAAAAATTTGTATTTTATAATTGACAATCTAAATTATAAAATAATTTTTTATTATTATATTTAGCTCATGTTTTAGTTGCATAATGAGAGACAATCATTTTTCATTCCTTATCTCACTTCACTCACATGACATATGACTTGAATTCAGTATCTCTTATCTCTAACAAAAAGCAATATTACAATTGAATTATTTAGGTCGTTAACATATTTAGCTCATGTCTTTTTTTATTTTATTTTCACACTTAAAATTTTCTCAATAAAATATACTTTTTTATGGTAAATACATTTTCCACTTAGGATAGGGTCCACTTATATGATATGAACTATCCAATATTTGTTAACCTCTCAACAACCCTCATGACATAGCCAATTTAACGGCTATAAATTGTAATCATTGTGTTTGGTCTACCACTCTACCTTGTTTTGGATAGATACATACTGATCAAGACTATAAACCTAACAACTCATGTATCTATCTTATGATCAGGCTCCAGATTTCATTTATTTTATTAGGATACCTCAAGAATCAAGATCTTAAGTTTCAGAGATGTTGGATTGATTTTCAAATCCTGTGGCCAGTCTTAACTTTTGGACTGTTTCAAGATGGCACCCACCAATCGTACGGTATGGATCTATCTAACTGTCCGCGGGCCAGGAGGTGCTACCTTAAGCTCCTTCATTTCAGTTTCCCAACAGACAAAGAAACAATATATTGCATTATAAAATTGAGACAACTGTTCTCCTTGGCCATTTTATTCTTCGGTGCATGTGATATCACCTCGGCAGGCTAAACTGTTTTTCTTATGATTGTCTGGAGCTGTGTTACCTTCTTGTGATACTCAGTCAATTATTTTAATTCAAATATTCATTAATTTTTATCTAATTTAATTTTCTACGCATTGCTGGAACTGTCTGAGGCATCTCCTCCACAAAACTTGAATGGCATTGGTTGAGGTACTGAGATTTGTTTGGCATGCCTCAAACCCCAGATGCAACAAAACTTTGGTTTTTGTGTGAAAGGATTGAGAAATCTTAAATTCTTCTCCAGGTTTATTTTATTCAAATTTTGCAGTATATACAAGGGGTATCTGAGGGCCAGGTTTTTTCTCTATGAAGCCAAGTTGTGTGGCCTCAAGTTAGGCTTCAAGAGAAACTTTTTATCATCTGTTTGTTCTTTTTCCTTAAAGAGTTTCCTTTTCCTGCTTCTCCTACTATACTTGCAAAAAACAAGTGTGATCTTCCCAGGCTCTGGCATCTGTCTAAATTACAGGTCTGAACATGCCATTTAATTTCTTACCAACTTTTTCTTATGCATGAAGTCAATCTGATTAAGACATACAGTTTCGGTTAGGAAGTTGCATTTTGCAGTTCAATTGTAACTGATGCATTTTTGTTTTTTTTGGGAATCTAACAATCCATCTTAAAATGGTTCTGTTCTTTATTGAGTTTTTCTTTCAGCTTAAATGGCTTTCATATTTGCATGAGTTTCTTCTTTTAACAGAATGAAGTCTGCTGGTTATTTCTTGTTACTCTCCTTCTTGTTGACTTTACCTTCTCAGAAACTTCTTAGAATTTGAACTAATTGATTTCAGGGGTAGGGAGGTGGAAAGAGGAGTGAAACAGCATTCAAGTTATTACACATGATATAGGTGTGTTGTAGACTAGAATGCATAATCCTAGATATTTTGCATGTGGGAACTTAATATTATGGCCCAAAGACATGTGAACAACCAGACAAACTATACCTAAAGTAATCTGAAGTTGTCATAGTTTCCTATTTATGTTGGAAACATTAATGCTTTCAATAGTCCTTCCTTTTCAACCAGTGGATGGTTTTATCTTGGCTTTTAATTTTTGCTGCAATTTTGATAATTTCTACAGGCAGAGAAGTTGATTCAAGCAGATAATGTGATCTGAACTCGTTATATCAGCAAATTCTTTGAAAAGAAGGATATCAGATATCGATTACAGAAGCAGTTGTTAAGGCTTAAGCTTCAATGGAGAAGCTTCTGAGGCCATATGATAAGGAGTACATGAGGATGGCTATGTTAAAACATGAAGAAACATTCAAAGAGCAGGTATATATTTAAAAGTTTTGTCCTTTTTTAATGTGTAATCTCTTCAATTGCTGTATATTTTATAAATCAAATTAATGATGTTCTAAGATCAAAATGATATTGTTCCAGGTATCTGAGCTCCATCGTCTGTATAGGATTCAGAAGTTATTGATGAAAAGGATAGAGAGCAATAGGCCTAATGGATACAGGCAGGGGTCATGGAACACGGACTTGAGACAGAATAATCTCCATGATCATTTACAACTGAATTCAAGGACAAGACTTGACCTGGAATGTCCGGCTGAAGAATACATTGCAGAATCAGATTGCAACAAAATGTTGGAGATCATAGAAGAGAGTGAGATTGAGCTGACTTTGGGGCCTGCGAGTTACTCCAGGAGAAAGACACCAGCAACACCTTTCACATCAGATTCTGGACCAAGCTTCTCTTCTTCCTCCACAGAATCCAGCCGTGTAAAGAAGACAAACTCCATGACTCATAGGAGAACAAATACAACAACAGAAGAGTTAAATGACCGTGAGTTGGGGCTTCATCAGGGAACTGACATGACATTTGGGTACCAAAGTGGAAGTAAAATCAACATTGATATTGAAGAACAATTGAGACAGGAGAGATTAAAACAGCCTACTTGGCTCTTCCAAGTTCTAAGCATAAAACATGACTTGAAAAAAATCTCCCATGTCTTATGATTAGATTTTAGACTGCTTCTTAATTTCTTATTGACTAATTCCTGTGATTGGTGATGTTTTTGTGTGTACTTTTTTTCTCAGATTTTACCAATGATCGGGCATCGAATCTCCTGTAAAAATTACTTTGTGTTCTCTTGTTTGCATTATCCAGTAAGATTACAGATTGACTTCATGTTTTTGTTTAGATTCAAATCAATCAAAAATCTTCTTTCAGCCCCACATTGGAAGACTTCAAGTACAAGCAAATCTTTTTATTTCTTTCCTCTTTGCTTTGATTAAACTCCAATATAGTAATATTCAGAGTGTAGGCTAAAACAACCTCAGGATTTGATTGTTTAACAGAATTATTCGCATCTTTGAAGCTATATACATAAATATTGAGGAAGACTTCTAGTTTAAACAATACAAGATTTTCTGTGGCCAACATGTTCGGAACAATGAATTTATCCCAGATTAAAAGGAAACAGATAATAAGATAGCATTTTTTATATTTCAGCAATGTTTTTGAAGATCTTCAAAGCCAAGAAGAGGAGACAAAGGAATCTCAAATAAAGAAGAATTATATTTACTATTAGGGTTATTTGTGCTCATGTAAAGACTTAAGAGTCTCTCATAAACAAAGATTTTCACAAATTTCGCTGTACCTTAATTGAACCATTTTTTTCCAGACAGACTATGAAACTTAAACATTTTTGAGCCATCAGATGTACACTGGAAGAACCAGGTTTATCCTGAAATAACTATGCCTAACTGGAAGAAGTTTGGGGAATGAAATATTGCATTATTGTCCAGCAGCATCTTACCTGTGCTGTGATGTTTTGCTTCAGACAAGGTGCACGCTGCTAGCCTGTCCGTGTTCTATTTCTACTTTTCCTAAAGTTCTTTATGCTTAAAAGGATTCAATGATATAGATGCAGACCCCACATACCTAACTCCCTATCCGAGAACAAAATGTGTAGTTCTATAATTTTCAACTCACCGGCAGGTCTTAATTAATAAGGTTGCTGATATGGGCGTGTAAATTCAATTGAATAGGACTAATCCTCAAAGAGGGCAGAACTTTGATTAGTTGTGTTCCCTTTCAACTCCAGGCCAACTATAAGATGTTACAGGATAGCGAAAGCTAAGTATTGCTGCAGAGAAATACCAATTCAGTAGCCATAAACTCCATGATTACAACCTTCCTATTACCAGACATTATAAAGTGTTTTTCTCAGAAACATAATGTTGTTTTCAAATATCTCACGCAGAAGCAGCAGATTTAGAGGGGATCAATATAAGAACTCCCCCACAAATGAAAGAAAAGCAGAAAAAGATCAGATTTCAGCTACTAGGTTTCTTAGACTTAAATCAATACATTGCAAAGTAGTGAAAGAGAAGCAAACCAATGTTTCAAGATATGGAGTGCCTCCGTTCCTTGCTGGGTCTTGTCCAACCTTTGGCACTGGAAGGTGACACTCCATCTGAACGAAAAAATGGATAAAGCCGTCCAAGTTTCTTAGTAACAGTGTTTATAAATGATTTTCGACGCAAAGGAGGCTTATCAGATGAGGGCAGACTATTTCCCATAGGAGTGGCTGCTGCTGACTTTACTGATAGTCTTTCTATTTCTTTCAATTTCATTTTCATCTTCACTATCTCTAGTTTTAGGTCCTCGTTTTCTCTTTTTAAGCTGGATAATTCACCTGAAACTGGGTGGATGTCTAGTGGGAGTAAGTCCAGTTTGGAAGAAGTGGTAGGGGAATCTCCATTAGTAAGGCTTCCATTCATGACATCTTGAAAACGTTGCTGTTCATAGTGAAGTACTTGAACCACAGTTTGCACAGGAAGCCGGTCATTTTGAGCAGCATGAGCACAGGCTTCCCTAGAGAGTTTTTGACAGTCCATCAAGCTGCAAACTTTTTTCCTCTCTATGTCGCTTAGAGTTGGATGAGCCTGCAAGCCATTAGATATGAATTGAGAAGAGAACTTTCAAAAAAGAAAGATGCTAAGATACATGAAAAGCCAGTAGCAATAGCAGTTGTGTGATTTTAAATTGCCAATTCCATAGAAACATTTTTCTAATCTTGGGGGTATTATACATAACTTGTATAAAAATAGGTCAAAATCATCATTGTATATATATTCAAGTCTCAAAATGGTGACCATAGAAAACTAAGGTTATCCAAAAAAATGTAAAAAGAAGCTGCCCTAAAGAGTTTAGAAGCATGTTGCAAAGATTTCGAGCAAATTGTTGGCTGATCACAAATGTCAATGGAAATAGGCATTCTTATGCGCATTTGCATATGATCGAAACAGAAATAATTCAATGATCATAATGATGAGGAATAAAAAGTGATTGAATGACACCAAATTTAGGAAAATTACAGACAAAAGAGTGTACCTTGAGGTAGATATCTATGGTTCTGTAAATCCCATCCTCTGTTACCCTTGATTGTTCTGGAATGAGTTCAGCGAGACCAATGAACCTTGAAACAGAAAGATTTCGATCAGACGCTATTTCAGCTAGATAGTTCTCCATTAGCTTTCCCACTCGTTCCACGTCGCTTCGTGGAGAAAAGTAATCATCATCTGTTTTGTATCCCAAATGTTTTCCTTCAGTTTCATATTCAAGGTAATTCATCATGATTCGCTGCACAGTGTCCACATCAAACAATGTATCCCCAGTGAAAGAATAGGAAGGAATCAAGAGATCATCCAGAACAGCCTGGCCCAATTGCAGGGCCATTCTCTTCTCCAAATCAAGGCGGCAAGCAACAGTAGTTTCAAGGTATATTGCTGCACGGAGGAGCATAGAAAGAAAACTAACAGACAATGCATTTGTTTCCCTTGGCAAAAGGCTTACAATTGTTTCTAAAATAACCCTCTTCTTGTGTTCTTCACTTGGCTCAATTTTCTTTCTCCCCTTCCCAAACGTTTCCTGCACCACAAAAGGCAAAATGGAGCATACATTTTAGATTTAAAACTATGAATAGGAAATAGGCCAGTTCTGTTTGTGTAGACTCTCACCAAACCTCTAAGAGATTTCTTTGCATAAAGCATTAGTATAGGACCAAGATCATATTGTTTAAACCCTCTTGCCATCATTGCATTCAGAACCCTTTGGAAGATGTCAATCCTAAAAACAGTTAAATCTTCAGCCCACCAATCAACTATAGGTTTGGGGTGAGACACTGAAGAAATTGCGCCATCAATGCCACGCTCAGCCTTTGCAGAAGTACAAAACTGGCTTTCTTTGCAGGCTATATACGCTATTGCATCTATGCACCTGCTGACCAATTTAACTTTCTCTGCAATGGGAAGGAGATTTTCAGCCATGTGTAGTACAGAAACTGCACCTGCAAGGCTCTTGAGTGCCACCTCATTCAAGTAGGCTTCAGTTCTTCCCACAAGGTTTCCAATTGCATAGTCCTCAGTCATCTCAAGATACTCTGCCGCACATCGGAGCATGGCAATGTTTTCTATGCTTATCTCGAAATTTATTCCATAACAGAATTTGGCTGCAAGCTCAAATGCTTCTGCCCCACCTGGAATGTCCGGGATTTCAATAGCAGAAAGATCAGCATCGCTGGAGTCTGAAACCAGTTTCCTTATGTATCCACATTTTGAGACTAATGGAAACTGCAGTTGAAGATTCAACCAATAACAAAACTACAGTTAGGTGCTAGATTCTTGCTGCTTCTTTATGTTGAATTTGATTGTGATTTTGAATACATAGAAAATTCATAGTTGCAAGATGATAGATCTTGTGCAAATTACACCCGACGGTTTCTATGAGGCAAACGGTAACACATCATGTTTAACTCATGCATCATCCTTGTTTGTCATTTATTAAGACAAAATGATGAGTTGAAAATGGAAATATAGGAATCGGAACAGAATTCTACCTTGTGCAGGGAAAAAGAAGCTCCTCCTACATGAATAGTAACATCACTAGGAATCTCCTGAGACAAAATCCTGAAAGAAATTAAAGTAAGCAATCAGTTCACAACAAGAAAAAACCGAATGTCAAAAGTGCTTTAAAAGAATTCCTAGTTATGCAGAACACAGGAAACAAACCATTCGCTGGTTCTCTTCATGGCTGTTGACAGAAGCTCCTTCTTTTGGGAGGACATGTGAACCGTTGCTGCTGCAGTTTCCTTCCGATCAAGATCCACCAAGGCAGGGTCCAGAGGACTTTTATCATGATCATGTCTCCATTAGACCATGAATGATATGGTAGAGAAAGTTCAGAAACCTTCCACCACTTCCTCGATTCTTTTCCTTTCCTTAACGCCCTTTTTTAGATGCTGAAACAGGAGCTGGACTTAAAAAGTATTCATTGATCAAGCTCAAACTAATCCCACTGCATTATCCATCCATTTTCAGCCTTACAAACAACCATCAGAGTTGTTAAGTACCGAAATTAGGCTTCCATGACTCAAGGGGATTCTATAAGATGTATCACATTAGGTGAATGGTATTTTGGGTATTACAGGAAGGAAGAGGGGTGAATAAAACAAGATAGATGAAGTTAATATATATGTGTGGTGTGGGTTTAGGGGGTTTGGTTAAAGAGATGAGATGGCTGCAGGTTCCTCGGCAGCTAAAGGTAGAAGTTTGCCAATGTAAATTATTCCCATCCACAAAAGTGCTCATCTTTAGTCCTCAGTGATTTCCATTACAGAATGAATGCAACATCCATGGTATTAATTATTGCTGAGAATCTACTGACAAAGTTACCAATTCATTTAGTCAAGGTCGATTGTACCATAAATACTAGCGAGTACTCAGTTAAAATCAACTTTTAACCTTTCACCTTATAAAATTAGTAGGTTTTAATCCATAATTTTATAATATGATACTTTTAACCTTTTACCTTATGAAATTTGTAAGTTTTAACTTCTTACCTTATATTATGACACTTTTAACCATTTATCTGTACGAATCGAAGAAAATAATCTTTATTTAATATCATGTTAGAATGTTCTATTAATTTTGTTAGTTGACTATCAGTTCTATTAATTGACTGTTAGTTTTGTTAGCTGACTGTTAGTTCTGTTAGTTGATTGTTAGTTCTGTTAGTTGACTGTTAGTATTCATTAGCATCCGTTAATATTTCGTTAATGGAATTAACGAATAAAATTGAATTTAAATTTCATGTTTTTTATAACGGAATGCTAATGGATGTTAACAATTAATTAACAAAATATTATAACCTGATATTAAGTGAAGGCTATTTTTTTAATTCGTATCGGTAAGGGGCTAAAAATATCATAATATAAGGTAAGAGGTTAAAACCTACCAACTTTGTAAGGTAAGAGACTAAAACTTACCAACTTTATAAGATAAAGGGCTAAAACTATCATTATAAAGTAAGGGGCTAAAACTTATCAATTTTGTAAGGTGAGGGACTAAATATTGGTTTTTGCCCTAGTATTCGTCCTAATTGCTCATGAAAGTTGTTCTCAGGAACTTTCATGTTCAAATTCCTACTATACTTCAGTTTGAGTATTGTGCTGAGAAAACTATTCCAACCTCATTTTTACCACTGTTTTGGCTTGCTTAAAGTATGAACCTAGCTGTTACAAAGGCAGTAGATAGTTGGATTTCTATTGTATTACTAGGAAGTTGCAAAAAGAAGTGATTTTGATAAGATTCATTTTACAATAAAAGGGGTTTTACAAATTAATGGGACAATTTTCTGCTGTACTCGTCAATGGCTTCCCTCTGTGATGCCCTTTCGCATCATGTACATTTGGGTCCCTTGCCTATGTTGATACTTCAGTGAATAGAAAATTCAACAATTCTTCTCAATCCATTATCTGATCCAACACTTCGCTGTTGCATTTAGTCTATAATTCAATGTGACTTCACAGCTCACTGGCATCATCATATTGGATAGATAAACCAGAAAATCTCAAAATAGAAGAGGTAATTGATTATTATATGACAAGATAAACCTGTAGACATTCCCAATTACCATGTAACATGAATTCAAAGGGTGTTTATTGGGTTAAACAGGTAAATCTTCTCTTGTATAACGCAGAATAATGATAGACCTATCAAAGGTACGTAGATAAGATCAAAGATTACTAAAAAGAAGAGCAATTTGACACGCAAAAGGCTTGAAAATTATTGGATTCCTTTGAAAATGTTTCCCCTTCGTGGGGTGGGGAGAGCAGAGGATATCAGACTACTAGAAGAAAGTCATGTTTTGCATTATCAGGTAGCTACTTCTAGCCAATATTACTCACCAAGTGCCATAATGTGACAATTTTCGACTAGCCCCACATTGATGGCAATAGATTTAGAGCGTCCTAGAGGTATTGAGTTGGAATCCATTAACGTATGAAATGATTAAACAAGAGGGTCGTATGTTCCATACAGGGCAAAATCAACCCACCACTCCATGATTTAGGACCTCTTGATTGAAGTCTCAGTCACAGATGATGTTGAGCAACTTGAGTAAAAAGAACCATGTCAGAGCAATGGCAAAAAAAAAAAGGATTGTCCCCATCCATGTGCACTGCAATGATAAATGGTTTGGACTAATCTAGAGCTAAGAATTGCATCCCATCAGTCCTTACTGATTCCGAAAGTGTTGACATACCGGGGGAAAATCCATTTCTTTTAAATGGTGCTGCCATGATGGAAAAAAGAAAGACAACAAATAATGCAACTGAGAAAATTACATGGCGTGGTGTCATGCAATGAATAATGACTAAATTATTTGATAGGAAAGAGAGAGCCAATCTAAACCAAAGCATTATGATATATTTTCATTTCATCCTTCGAAAATGGATAATTTACAAGTGCAGTGTTTTATAATTTAAATTATAAAATTTTAATTATTGAAGAAAAAGTTATTGTTAATATTGAAAAGTTTTTTTTTTATTTAATCATTAATATTTTATAATTTATATCGCAAAAAAATCATTTTTAATCTTGTATATATAGAAACAAAGAAAGAGAAAACGATTTTCTTTTATCAATATAAACCAAAACATTTAATCTACAAGGCTAAAGCCTAAAAAAAAAGAGAATATATAAGAGAAGATTCCTGTTCAACTTGCAAATCTTCTGAGTGAAATATTGAACAAACAGTCATCTATGATTCTGTATCATCGTCTCAACCGGCTTCTCATTACAATTTACAAGGCCTAGAACCTAGCCAGACATGAAGATCGTGGGTAAGATACAATCTTGATTAGAAAAATTAATGAATTGGATGATTGTACCCACAATTACGAGGAAGACGTGACACTGTGATAGGCTGATAGCGCAATGACGCTGTCGGCGCTATGTGGGGCTGCTGAGTTGGGGTGGGTTAGAAGTCTAAAAGTTTGGCAGTACGGTAGCTATGGCCGGAGGTCATATCAAGCTGCAGGGAATTCCTTGATTCGCTGGAGAAACCGTTACTAAGTAAAGGACTGACCTTTCTTAGGCCATGAGTGGTAGGAAAATAAAGCAAAATTTTCCTCGGTGGACAAAGGATGGGGTGCCGATCCTCCCGAACCGGAGAGTGGACCGGTGACTGCCAATTCCAACAGCCCGAGTCCTAATAGTCAAGAGAATTCGATTTGAGAACATACTACCAATGTGATTAGCTCTACGCTTCAGGAGTGATGATCCTCGCCAGGAAGCAACAGTTCTCCGATCATTGCCATCCCGGCAGTTTTTCCGATCTTGACAAAAATTAAAATGAGAGAGGATAATTGGGTATTTTCATTTTTTTGATGTGCGTTAATTGGGTATTTCCGAGTTGAGGGACTTGATCGCTCGAAATAAAAGTTAAGTTAATAAATTCCATTATTTGTAAAAAGCTTAGGATGATATAATTATACGCCATTCGATGTGCGTTAATAGAGTACCCGTATTTCTGAGTTGGGGGACTTGATCGATCGAAATAAAAGTTAAAGAATAACTTGATTTATTTTTATAAGATTGGGGGCTAAAGTTTGAAAAAAAATTGCCAATTTTTTAAACGGCGGTGTTTAATTATATCTTCCTCTCGTCGGCTCGTCGCCGGCGATAAGTTGATAGCTAATCTTGCCGACTTCCACGGTTCGCTTCCGCGCCTAACGCCTTGTCCATACCCTTCGAAAGAGACCTGCAAACACGAACCAAAAAATCCCCTCCAATGGCTGCCAAGCTAATATTCAAATCCAAAATCTCTGTTTCTTAACATCAAGCGCACCGTAATTCTTAATTTTAGAGAGCCCAAATTTATGTCTTTACCTCTTTAATCATGGAATTCTCTTCTTCCCTCACAAACCGCCCCAATTTTCTGACATTTCCTTCTCTTCGTCTTTCACCCCTTTCCCACTCCAAACCCACCTGCAACCCACGAAACCCAAGTCACAGAACCTCCGAATTTTTGCCGTTGCCGTCGCCCCTCAAGAACTCCCGAGGAGCAGCCCGCAGAGACTTCTCAAAGAGCTTGCGCAGCGTAAAACAGCCATTGGTCCAAAGAAAAATGTGCCTCCGAAAAGGTTTATACTGAAACCCCCACTCGACGATAAGAAATTGACTGAAAGTTTCTTAAATAGCCCTCAATTGTCTCTAAAGCAGGTTCCCTTGTTGAGTTCTTGCTTGCTCTCTTTGCGGCCTAACAATGCTGATAAAATGTGGATGGACGAGTGCTTGCTTGAGGCCAAGCAAGCTCTGGGTTACCCTCGGAACCATCTGAGCAACTGGGGGATGATAATCCAGCCAAACAGTTTGATTCTCTGAGGCATTTGGCGTTTCAACACCCCTCGTGAGAGGACGAATGCAAGGCATGTGAAGTCGGCGCATTCCTGGCTGTTGTTCTTTGGGCAGTATGTGATTGAATTGGTGTTGATGGAGTATTTCTTGCAGAGGTACCCTAGGGAGTCTCCCGGACCAATGAGGGAGAGGGTGTTTGCTTTGATGGGGAAGAGGAACTTGCCTAAATGGATTAAAGCTGCTGGCTTGCAAATTTTGATATTTCCTTATGATACTGTGGATAAGTTGATCAGAAAGGAAAAGGAACCACCTGTAAAGTAAAGCATTTTTTTGGCCTGCAAGCTTTTGGTTTTTCATTAGATGAATAATGTGCATCATTATTACTATTATTATTATTATTATTTTGGTGCTGTCTGTGCTTCTGAATTTGAGAAATTTATGGTTCCTTGAATTGGTCTCCTATCTGTTGTCCAATCTGAAATCTGAATACTATTCGTAGGAATAAGCTGAAATTACGTAGGTTAGTAAGTAGAATGGTTGTCTTCTCTTCACTACTTCTATGTTCTAAATGAGAGAAACTTTGTTTAGATGGCTTTAGGTGATGGCTTTCATGGCAGGATCTGTGTTGGCTTTCATTGGCATATAAGAGACGTGAAAGGTTCCTGGGATGCCATGCTTAGGCGGCCAGGGTGTCAATTTGCTATAGGCAGTTCCACCTGATTTAGACATCTGAAATATGCATAGCAGGTTACGCTTTTCTCAGAGGACATTGTATTGGCTTTTATAGTATCAAGAAGCATAAGGCAAATGATATATTTTTCCAACTTCTTCTTTTTGTAACTTATATCTCTGCAGCACCAGTTTGTGCCCAGTAAACTTCCTTACTTGGCTATATAAACCAAGTAGCTCTATCCTTTGTTGTAAATTTCTGGAGTTAAGTTACTCATTGCTTTTGATTTGTTTCTTGTGGGAACTACTTAATTCATAACCCAAATTGACTATTAAATTGGTGTTTTATATGCTCAGGTCTGTGTTTTGGGCTTTATTTGGGGCAAAATACTTGTGTTTTGGTATTCCAGAAGTATATCATGTTCTCTTTGAGGTATTTGGGATGGATCTAGAAGCTGAGGACTGCTAACCACGGTTAAGGAGGCAACTTGAAGATGTAGATTAAGTTTATGCTGAATTAGATGGCCAGAAGCTCAGCTGGCAAGATGTAGCAACTTATAAAGTAAGCCTTGTTTCGTTTTCCTTTCTTTTTATAGAGTTTTCATTTAAAATGGTAAAAAGAAAGAGAAGAGGAAAAATAGAATTTAGCCCAGGGCCATGTTAAGGAATATTAGAAATTTCAAATGAAAAAATTCTGCCATATTTGCATCCAGAACTCAGGTCCAATTAGGACTTGGGCAGCTTTATATATTTTTTGATCAGCTAAGACTGAATTATATATACAAGACAAGATTTCAGATCTAGCTGGAAGAAGCAGTTTGAGATCTGTAGGATGTTTTATTTGAAGCTTTAGATCATGTTTGGTTCAATGGGATGGCTCTTTCACTTAACAAAATGTGACCATGGAGTTCATCCGCTAGACTATTTAGCCAGTGAAATATTTGCAACTTTTCAATAGATGAGAGACCATTTCATTCTCATCTTATGTTGGAAGGAAAATTTAGCTGATTTTTCTTTTTCTCCCTTTATAGCCCCTGTAAGATGCTCTCTTCACACACCCAAGCTATTCAGGGCTTGTGTTCCCCCAGGTATGCATTGGTTCCAAGGAAATATCTGGGATTATGAAAGAAAACCTCAAGTTACGCGGACACTGGGATATCCCTTGGCAATGATTGACAGAATTCCTGAAATTACTGAAGCCAGGAACATTGAACTTGGACCAGGGCTACAGGTAAAAATTTGTAGTTTGAATATGTTGTGTGAGCATGCATGTGAGCCTACTTGTATATGTTTGCTTGTCTAACTGTCTGATTGTTTATTCTCATTTACCAGCTGTGAAATACTATTTTTTCATTTTTACCATGCTGGAAAATTTAATCAATTCTCAAGCCAGCTTGTTTAATGTCTCACTCATCATTAACAAGTATAATCACATTTCCTTATTCACATTTCTAACTGAGAATTTGAGATTAATTGATGCCAAAGGATTCGGCTGTCAGCACAATGTTCAAGGAGTAATTGAACCATTAAAAAATTTAGATAGTTTAAAGTTATTTTTAGTATCATTTTGTTCTAGATGTTTCCCAAGACTTGTTTTTTTCTTTGTTAATTGTCAACTATACATTTGATAAAAGGCATATATTGCACAGGATTTCAGGAAGGTTAAGGGCGTTTGCCCCACTGCTTATCTTCTGATTTACCATTTCGTTGGCCATTGGATTACAACTTTTGTTTCTTGCACCCATCAAAATATAAGTTCAAACATCCTCGGTTTAGCTACAAACGGCTGGAGAATGTTGGGCAAAAGATCCAGGTATGTGGTTGCTGCAGTGATGCCTTGTTAGAGAAAAAATATGTAAGTACACTCCTTTCCGCTCATAATCAACCTAACAGTTATGTTTTCAATATCTTGAGGATCTTGTAATGGCTGAGAGATTGCCGATGAAGCATCTAGATGCACCTGGAAAGTGGCTGTAAGAGAGGCACAGGCGACTTCTCATGAACAAATTCTGCGTTAAGGTATTTAAGGGAGAAACGTCTTCATGGCTTTATCGTCTATTCAGAGCAAGCTGAAGTGGCATTCGAGCACAACCGCACTCTAAGAAACCTTGCCACGACTGCCGTTCAACAAGCAATCCACGGCCTTGCATACACCGTCTACGGAAAGGCAGAGGTCAGGCGCCTCATGTTCGAGGTCTTTGATTTCGAACAAATCCAACCAAAACCCGTTTCATGAAAAA